ACAGAAATGTGAGGAACTGTTTAAGGCCACCACCGTACGGGATGGTTCTGGTCGCTATATTGTAAACATGCCTTTTAATTCAGACGATCCAGCTTGTAAATATGGCGGCTCAAAGGAAATTGCTCTTCAGCGATTCTTAACGTTAGAAAGGCGGTTTCTAAAGGATCCCGACTTCAAGGCACAATACTTAGCTGTTATAAATGAGTACGTAGCACTTAATCACATGGATGTTGTAAAGGATCGGGATAAAGAAGGTTTGCTATATTTACCGCACCATGCCGTCATTCCTAATGATAAGAGTACAACAAAGTTGCGTATTGTATTTGATGCATCGTGTGTAGGCAATAATGGTGTATCACTTAACCACTATTTAATGGTTGGTCCATCCTTGCAGCCTAAACTCCGTCACATTATCTTAGGTTGGCGTTTTCATCCTATCTGCCTAGTAGCTGACATTATTAAAATGTATAGGCAGATTAAGGTACGCGACGACCACACAAACTATAAGCGGATTTTATGGCGTGAGAATCCAAATGACGAACTTAAAGTTTTAAGACATTTAAGAGTCACTTTCGGAACATCATCAGCGCCATATCTAGCTGTACGCTCGTTGCAGCAGTTAGCTCAGGACGACCATAATCACTGCAAAGGTGTTTATTCAGCGATTATGGATGACTGGGATCGGATGGGATGTGGAACTACCTTCACACTTGTTGGCAGAGTGATTTTCGAAAGGATCTTGGTGATCTTAGCAAAATTTCGTCTACCTCGTTGGATAAATTCGAATAAGGATAACAGGGTTCTAGAATTTCATGGCTTTTCAGACGCGTCCAATGTAGCTTATGCCACAGTAATTTACATTTGCATAATTGATCAAGACGGAAGTATTCATGCCAACTTGTTAACTTCTAAAACTAAAGTAGCCCCGATTAAGCAAGTTGCCCCAATTAAGCAAGTTGTCCGTGTGGTGACGGATTAAGAATACAGAGTGTCACCACCCCTATTTATCCCGTGGGTGTTGTAAGAGCCGACTAAGGGAAAAAACTACGCAGAACAACAGCACTGCAGAGAGAGAAAGTAAACATAGCTTTTGTTTTAAAAAATGTTTTTTATATAATATGTACTTAAATATCGCTAAAAAGTGTCTGTGAGAAGTTTGAATTGGTTCAGTATTGAGTGATATAGTTTGCCACTTATGTTGTGTAAACCAAGCTGTACTAGTCTATGGCACTTAACTTTACTAAAGTCTATGAATATCCGTACACATCCTGTCATGGGAGTCGTTTATAAGACCTAACCATAAGTAAAGTATAATAAAACAATTCACCGAAGGAGCGATTAACTAGTTCCTATATTGAAACTAGATTAGAGAATTTAGAAGCTAGTTAGTCGACATTTTGTGAAACTCACATGAAAATTGTAACAGCGGTTAAGTCTACAGAATTTGAAACAAACTTGTATGAAATGACGGAAGAATTATTTACAGATTATAAGTCTCTTTTGAAGGAATCTTTAAAATTCGGATCGGATACTACAAGTAAAGTGTCCAAAGCTACCACAAGGGATTCTTCTGTATGTACTGTTCAACTACTACTAGAGATCTATTTAAATCATTCATTCACAATAATAAACATCTAGATGAAGTTAAAAATTACATTATTTGAAGACCCATTTGTCAGGAGAAGCTGAAAGTTTCTTACGACATATTCCTATTATTAGTGACAATTATTCAATCTGTTGGTCTCAATTAGAAAAAAGATACAATAATAAGAAATATTTAGCGAACTGCATATTAAAACGTTTTATGAGTCAACGAAATATTGTCTCAGAATCTTCAAGCGCACTTAAAGAATTGTTAGATACATCCAATGAATGCTTACATGCTTTAGAAAACTTAGACGTAAACGTTGATAATTGGGACATTATCGTTATTTATATTTTAAGTTTGAAGTTAGACAGTGAGACACGTAAGCAGTGGGAAATGAAAATAAGTGAATGAAGTTTAATCAATTTAAATATTTCCTTGAACACAGATTTAGAGCATAAGAATTTTTAGACAATAAAGGTCAGCGTAATCAAACTCATCGTAATGTTTCTATTAAAGCGTATCAGGTTTCAGCAACGTCCTGTGGTTTTTGTCAAGATAATTAAAAAAATTCAAATTGTAAAAGGTTCGGTCGTCTCGATGTTGATAAGCGTCGCAATTTTGTTAAAACAAATGGTTTATGTTATAACTGTTTGGGTGGAAATCACTCCATATATTCATGTCGCCAATCCACAAGATGTCATACATGTAAAGGTAAGCATCATTCTCTCCTTCACCTTAAGAATGTCTCCAAATCAGTTAGTGTTAACAATGCAACTAATCCGGCAGTAGGAGGTAGTAATGGTGCTGTCGCAACTACATCAAATCAGAGCAAGTCCACTAATGTTGTAAGTTGTTTTGCTAATAGTGATAGTCAAATCTCATTAGCCACTGCTTTAATCGCAGCGGAATCAAGGAGTGGTTCTGCATTTGTGTTAAGATCCTTGATAGACCAAGCTAAGCTTCGTCTATTAGGTCTTAAGAAGATACCAACTAGAGGTTCAGTCTCAGGCATAGGATGTGATCAAAGACAATCGATGATTTCATTAAAGTCGATGGTTCTTTTAAAGGCCAAATCACGAATAGACCCTAGTTTTATTGTTACGGTAAGGGCATATGTTTTAAAGAAGTTAACTGGTCTTTTACCGGAAAGGAAGGTAATGGCAAATGTTTTAACCACAATCTCGTCTTTGGATTTAGCAGATCCTTCATTTGATACTCCAAACAAGACTGATTTGCTATTAGGCGCTGATGTTCATGGCCAGATATTGTTAGAAGGTTTAATCAGAGGTCCGCCTGGCCTACCTATTGCTCAAAATTGTCTGGTAAAGTAGGCGAACAAATCAGCCAAAGCGAGATATGCCACAATACTGTCGTGAGTTTACATTCAACTCAAATAGACGAGAATGCGCTTCTTAAGAATGCGCTTTTAGGAACTCGAATCTGAGCCCCATTGTGATTATAATAGGATTTACTTAAGCCCAGAAGAACAGAAATGTGAGGAACTGTTTAAGGCCACCACCGTACGGGATGGTTCTGGTCGCTATATTGTAAACATGCCTTTTAATTCAGACGATCCAGCTTGTAAATATGGCGGCTCAAAGGAAATTGCTCTTCAGCGATTCTTAACGTTAGAAAGGCGGTTTCTAAAGGATCCCGACTTCAAGGCACAATACTTAGCTGTTATAAATGAGTACGTAGCACTTAATCACATGGATGTTGTAAAGGATCGGGATAAAGAAGGTTTGCTATATTTACCGCACCATGCCGTCATTCCTAATGATAAGAGTACAACAAAGTTGCGTATTGTATTTGATGCATCGTGTGTAGGCAATAATGGTGTATCACTTAACCACTATTTAATGGTTGGTCCATCCTTGCAGCCTAAACTCCGTCACATTATCTTAGGTTGGCGTTTTCATCCTATCTGCCTAGTAGCTGACATTATTAAAATGTATAGGCAGATTAAGGTACGCGACGACCACACAAACTATAAGCGGATTTTATGGCGTGAGAATCCAAATGACGAACTTAAAGTTTTAAGACATTTAAGAGTCACTTTCGGAACATCATCAGCGCCATATCTAGCTGTACGCTCGTTGCAGCAGTTAGCTCAGGACGACCATAATCACTGCAAAGGTGTTTATTCAGCGATTATGGATGACTGGGATCGGATGGGATGTGGAACTACCTTCACACTTGTTGGCAGAGTGATTTTCGAAAGGATCTTGGTGATCTTAGCAAAATTTCGTCTACCTCGTTGGATAAATTCGAATAAGGATAACAGGGTTCTAGAATTTCATGGCTTTTCAGACGCGTCCAATGTAGCTTATGCCACAGTAATTTACATTTGCATAATTGATCAAGACGGAAGTATTCATGCCAACTTGTTAACTTCTAAAACTAAAGTAGCCCCGATTAAGCAAGTTGCCCCAATTAAGCAAGTTGTCCGTGTGGTGACGGATTAAGAATACAGAGTGTCACCACCCCTATTTATCCCGTGGGTGTTGTAAGAGCCGACTAAGGGAAAAAACTACGCAGAACAACAGCACTGCAGAGAGAGAAAGTAAACATAGCTTTTGTTTTAAAAAATGTTTTTTATATAATATGTACTTAAATATCGCTAAAAAGTGTCTGTGAGAAGTTTGAATTGGTTCAGTATTGAGTGATATAGTTTGCCACTTATGTTGTGTAAACCAAGCTGTACTAGTCTATGGCACTTAACTTTACTAAAGTCTATGAATATCCGTACACATCCTGTCATGGGAGTCGTTTATAAGACCTAACCATAAGTAAAGTATAATAAAACAAATTACCTAAAAGTGTATCTTTGAATTATAAATTAGAACATGGCGCAGTCTAGGATATTTTTTGGGCTGAATATTATCAAGAATTATTATTAGTATCTGCAAATCCACAGTTAAGTGTTGGATTAGATTGGATTTGATAGTTATTGCCGTCAAGACTAAACAAGCTCAGAAAATGGTGTCAGTGAAATTGCCTCCTAATCTGAATTTGCAAAGTGAAAGCGCAGCCAGTGAGTTTAAATTTTGGCTACAGCTTTTCGAAGACTATTTGGTGGCGGTGGGAAAAAATGCGGCTGAAGACAAAGTCAAGCTTTCTCTTTTACGAAATATGATGGGGCCAGAGGCAGCTCGTATTTTACAGACATTGCCCATAAAAGATGAAAATGCAGAAAAGTATACAAATGTAATCGACGCGATAAAATTATTCGTATCACCGCAAATTAATAATAGCTTTGAGCGGTTTAAATTCAACGAAAGAAAACAACGATATGGTGAGCCATTTGAAATGTTTCTCACAAATTGCAGAGAGCTTATTAAAACATGTGAGTACAATGTAACATCAGATTCGGAGCCCTTAGAAAATCAGATTCTTCGTGATAAAATCGTGCATGGAGTATGACAAAGCTATTCAAGAAAATCTTTTACGAATTGAAAATTTAACATTAGAGAAAGCCATTCATTACTGCAGGACATCTGAACAGAGTAAAAAACAAGTACAGCAAATGAATACAAGCACCGCAGTAGAAGTGGACGTGTTGAAAAAGACGATTAACAACACATTTTCATGCATGAGATGCCAGAAACAACATGGTCCGAGACAATGTCCAGCATTCGGGAATGTGGGATACTCTATCATTTTGCAGTCAGTTGCAGAAAGATACCCCAACATGCCAAGAAAGTTAAAGAAGTAAAATTTTGATGAGAAGCCCGATGACACCAGCAGTAGTGAGGAGTTGTTTTGCGGGATGACCAAATTCAAGGATCTCCAACGATTGGTATGAAAATATAAATATTGAAAGTAAATGTGTAAAGTGTAAATTGAACACCGGTGCAGAGATAAGTGTCATGCCGTTATCAATATTTCAACAAATTAATAAAGATCTAAATTTAAAAATGATAGATACAAATATCAAATTACAATCATTTGATGGTAACAAAACAAAACCATTAGAAATGATAAATTTACTGTGTAAATATAAAGATAACACATGTTATGAAAATTTTGTGATTGTAAATTCAAATTCCATGTTGCTTGGTCTTCCAGGTTGTGTGGCGCTGAACTTGGTAAAAAGAGTTTTTATGGTGAAACCAGATGAAAATGTAAATGATGGGGAAAAACATAATTTTATAAATAATAATATCGAAGTTTTCCAAGGTACTGGTAAATTGCCAGGTTTGTTTGATATACCCACTAGAGATATTCAGGAACAAATTTGTTTTCCATCACCCAATCTTCCTAATGCTTTGTATGAGCCCGTGAAATGTCAGCTTGACCGACTGGTAAAACGAAATGCAATTGTTAAAGTAGATAATATTAATTCACAGGCTTGTGTAAACAGAATAGTTATTGTTGAACGCCCTAATGGGAAAATTAGATTGTGTTTGGACCTCTCTGACCTAAATAAATATATTGTTAAAAAGCCTAAAATTTTACCAACTTTAGATGAAATTGCTTGTAAATTTAAAGGAAAGAGATATTTTTCAGTTTTAGATTTAAGCGAAGGATTTCATCATCTAAAGTTGACTGAAGGGGCATCTTGGAAGTGCTGTTTTGCAACACCTTTTGGTGTATACAGATATTGTGTGTTACCTTACGGTCTTATGAATGCACCTGAACTCTTCCAGGATGTTCTTGAAACACATTTTGGCACTATACCAAATGTAACTGTATGGGCTGACGATATATTAGTAATGGGATCTACTGTTGAGGACCATGATAGTACTATTAATATCTGGTTATAATATTAATATCTATTTCTATAGGTTTGTGGGGGAATCGCCACCACATTAATTCCCAGGTTCGTACCGGGATCCTTATCCAGTGAGGTAGGTAGGACGTTTAAGAAAAGATATCACTACACTGAGGTGGAAGTCGAATGATGAACGATAGTTTAGTAGTTCCAACAATTATATTTTAAAAAGAATCTTTACAAAATTAACAGATATATAGATATTAACTCGATACAAAAATAATGAGCGGTAGTAAGCGTGAGCGCCGAACGCGGAGTGCGTAGGTAGGTCCGTACATTGCCGGTCGCTAGGCCGGTGCGACGTCACACGCCATCCTTTTGTTTACTGCCTCGGGTGTATGGTCCAAGGTGCGAAAGTTGAGCGGAGCTAATTACTTCGTAGGATGTGGTGTAAGTAGGTACGCCACAGGTTATTCCTTTTTTTTTTTTTTTTTTTTTACGTGTGGAAATTCCCTCGGACCGTCACCCCGCCGGGGCTCTCGTTCGGCGGGGCGGTGTGTCGGACTCGAACCGACTAAAACCACACGGTGTGCCCTCTTTGCGCTTCCAGTTTAGGAGGGGTCCAGGTAGTTATCGCCTTCTGGACCCCTCCCAGCGCCGGTCCGCTCCTGGTGCGGGCTCCGTCTCCAGGACCTCTCTTTTTAGGCAACGTCCGGCACACGCGGACGCCGCCCCCCTCGCGGCTGGCCAAACTAATGCGGGTGGAGGGGAGAACCCATCCCGTCCACCCGCGGCCACACTCAGGGCGGCATGAGGCGCTGGTAAGCGCGCCTCCGCCGCCCGGTTCGCCGGCGGCGGATCGGGTCCAAGTGGAGGTCGTCCTCCCGGGCCTTCTCCGCCGCCTCCTTCTGCAAGCACCTTCTCCGGAAAGCACCTGCGTCAGCCGGAAGGAAAGGGTCCCGTGCTGCCGCCCTGCCCACTCGGCGATGACCGGCTGGAGAGCCTCCACGGCGGCGAAGCCAGCGCGTGGAGTCTCCAGCCGGAACGACCATCTGACCATGGTGGCTCGGCGAGCGGCTTCGCGCCACTCGCGCACGTCTTCGGGCGGAGGGCGAAATCCGCTCTCCGCCCGGAAGTCAGCCACTCGCCGATAAACTTCGGCGAGCACTTCTGCCTCCAAATCCCACGGGGGTGTTCCGGCCAAGGCGCAAGCCGCCTCGGTGGACACCGTGCGGTATCCGCGTATGGCTCTGACCGCCAATATCCTCTGGGGGCGCCAGAGGCGCGCCCTATTCGGGGCGGTCAGAGCCGCCACCCACACCGGTGCACCATAAAGCGCCATGGACCGGACAACCCCCGCGTACAGCCGCCTCGTGGGAACACTGGCCCCGCCCAAATTGGGCAAAAGTCGCCCTAGGGCGGAGGCAGTGTCCACCAGCTTCGGACCAAGCTGTCGGAAGTGCTCGTCGAAGAGCCACCTACCGTCTAGGACCAGACCCAGGTACCTCATCTGGGCCCGGACCGGTACGAGGACCGAGCCGACCTCGATTGAGGCGCCGGCGGGCGGACCACGACGGGGCCCATGAAATAATAGGGCCTCCGTCTTATCCAGGGCCACCCGCAAACCCAACGCCTCAATGCGCCCGACCACCAGGGAAACTCCCGTGGCGGCCAGGCGCGCCGCCTCCTGGAAGTTAGCCCCCCGGGCCGTGAGCAAGGTGTCATCCGCGTAGCAGATTACACCCAGCCCGGGGGGGAGACGCCCTCGTAGGGCCCAGTCGTACCCGATGTTCCACAGGAGAGGTCCTAGGACAGACCCCTGCGGAACACCGCACGACATGGCCCTGCGTCTCAAGACGCCATCTCGGTCCTCGTACATGACGGTTCGCTCCTCAAGATAGTCTGCCACCAGCCGCCTCAGGTACTCCGGCACTCCGTGGTAGCGGAGCGCTTCCCTGATGCAGCTGAATGGCAGACCATTGAAGGCGTTGGCGATGTCCAAGGACACCGCCAACACCACTCCGCCGCAGCTCACGGCCTCCTCGGTCACGGCCCTAAGGCGCATTACGGCATCGATCGTCGAACGCCCCTCTCGGAAACCGAATTGGGCGTCCGACAGATCGGGGCCAACCTCGCAAAGGTGCCGGACGATGCGGGCAGAGAGCACCCTCTCAAAAAGTTTACCCGCCTCGTCCAGCAACACGATAGGCCTATAGGCCGCGACCGATTCGGCAGGCCGTCCCGGCTTCTGCAGCAGAACCAGCTTCCCGCATTTCCAGCGCTCAGGGAAGCGTCCGGACGCCAGGCTAGCGTCCAACACTTCCCTGAGGTGGTCCGACATGTAGTCGAGGGCTCGGGCCATCACTCGGGCTGGAACCCCGTCCGGCCCGGCTATAGGTTATTCCTACCTTAAGGCTTAAGCAATCCACCTCATGCGTATGCAACTACGATACATTACACTTTTACATTAATACCTGTTGCAATTAAGTACGAGAGCCCTGGTACCCATACCACAAGTTAAATCTTACTTTGGGTACCAGAGGTCACCAAAACTATTGTACATGTTGAATTGTTAAAACTTATGTGTGTTTTTACTGTATGTATCTTTTTGAGACAATAAATTATATTATTATTATTATTATTATTATTAAATATTGTAATTAGTAAAGCCAAAAGTTTAGGTATTGTGTTTAATAAAGATAAATTTTAATTTAAAAAAACAGAGGTTAAGTATGTAGGTCAATTTTTTAGTGAAAAAGGCATTAGTATTGATAAGTCACGGGTTGAATCGTTAACAAAGTTAAATTCACCTACAAATAAAGAGCAATTAAAAGCATGATAGGCTCATTTAGTTATATTAGAAGATATGTACCTGATATGGCTGAACTTATGTCACCATTATGTAAATTAGTAAGAAAAGATTGTGAATTTACTTGGCTTCCAATACATGAAGAAGCATTTCAAAAATTAAAAAATAGAGCTTGTAACACACCAGCACTTACTCCATTTGATCCAAGATTAAAATGTATTATACAGTGTGATGCAAGTAAAAATGGGCTGGGATGTTGCTTGTTTCAGAATGATGATAAAAATGAACAACTATTTTTAAAATTTTTTCATTTTTAAATTATGGTCAAACAGAAAAAGAATTATTAGCAATTTATTTTGGAGTACAGAAATTTCACAAGTTTATATTTGGACTTGAAGTGGATGTTCAAACAGACCATAAACCTATTGTTTCTATAATTAAAAAGCATGTCAGTAAACTTGGGTCCCCTAGGTTGAGACGCCTACGGTTAAAATTATTAATGTATAATCTGAATGTGTACTATGTCCCGGGAAAATTGGTTCATTTTGCAGATATGTTGTCAAGAAATAGTCTCAAAGTTACCGAGTATGATAGTGAAATGTTACATATGGTCCATTCTATATCTAGATACTTACTAATGTCACCTGAAAGGAAAAATGTATTTAGACGCGCTACTAACAATGATCCTTTTTTTTTTTTTTTTTTTTTTAACGTGTGGAAATCCCCTCGGACCGTCACCCCTCCGGGGTTTGCGGCGGGGTGGTGTGTCGGACTCGGACCGACTAAAACCACACGGTGTGCCACTCTGCGCCTGTAACAGGAGGGATCCGGGAACAGCTGTTGTTAAGACATCCGGACCCCTCCTAGCGCCAGCCCGCTCCTGGTGCGGGCTCCGTCTCAATATATTTTCCGCACTTCCGCACTTCCGCCTCCAAATCCCACGGGGGAGTTCCGGCCAACGCGCATGCCACCTCCGTCGAAACGGTGCGGTAACCGCGTATGGCTCTGACCGCCATTACCCTCTGAGGGCGCCAGAGGCGTACCCTATTCTGGGCGGTCAGAGCCGCCGCCCACACCGGTGCACCGTACAGTGCCATTGACCGGACAACCCCCGTGTACAGCCGTCTTGTCGCGACGCTGGGTCCACCCATATTGGGCAAAAGTCGCCCTAGGGCAGACGCAGCGCCGACCAGCTTTGGAGCAAGCTGTCGGAAGTGCTCGTCGAAGAGCCACCTCCCGTCGAGGATCAGGCCCAGATATTTCATCTGGGCCCGAACCGGTACGAGGACCGAGTTGACCACGATTGAGGCGCCAGGGGGTGGACCACGACGGGGCCCATGAAATAACAGGGCCTCCGTCTTATCTAGGGCCACCCGTAAGCCCAGCGCCTCAATGCGCCCGACCTACTAACAATGATCCTGTTCTAACCAAAATTATAAATTATTATCATCATGGATGGCCCAAAACTATAACTAAAGATTGTCAAAGTTTTGAAAAACTAAAAGGTACCATTTACTTACAAGATGGCTTATTGTTCTTCGAACATAAGCTAATTGTACCCTGTTCATTAAATCATATATAATGGAAATAATACATCAAGGTCATAATGGTATTGCTAAGTGTATAAACAGAGCTAAAAACACATTTTACTGGCCTAATATGCGAACGGACTTAATTAACTTTGTAAAACAATGTAGAACTTGTGAGAAGTACAGCCCTCAAAATTGTAGTGAACCTTTGCTTCCACACAAAATTCCAAAAGAAAGATATTTGAAAGTAGGCTGTGATATCTTGGATTTTCATAGAAGATATTTTCTGGTTATTGTAGACTACTTTTCACATTGGCTTGAATTGTTGCCACTAGCAAGTAAAACCTCAAAGTGTGTAATTCATTCAATGCAAAATGCATTTACTAGATTTGGTTACCCATTGGAATTGATTGCTGACAATAATCCATTTGCATCTGCCGAATGTCAGGATTACTTTAAGTCTAAGGACATACAGTTAACTACCAGTACACCACATTATCCAAAAAGCAATGGGATGGCAGAAAAAGCTGTTCACATTAGTAAGCAAATTTTAAGAAAATGTGAAGAAGATAAGATAGACTATAGAGAAGGAGTTATGCAATACAATAATACTCCACTCTCAGGCCTAGATGTTACACCTTCTCAAATACTTAATAGTAGAAATGTGAGAACTTTAGTACCAAGTACAATGTATTGTTTAAAACCCAAAATACATAATGTATATAAACAACTAGTGTTAAAACAATCTATTACTAAGGAACATTATGATAAGAGAGCCAAGAGATATGTTACTTTTAAGCCTGGTGATCATGTAGTATACAGAGAGGGAGGAAAGTGGCTAAAAGCTTAAGTTGTTAAGCATTCTAAAGAGCCTAGATGTTTTGTGATTCTTACTGACAGTGGATCATTTTTAAGACGCAACAGTTCTCAATTAAAGTCCTCATTTACACGGAGTAAAAATAATGTATTTAAGTCTGATCCTTTGATCCCTTTGATGTATGACAGAAATAATGTTATTATTAATGAACCTTCTACACCCTGTAATAATGAACCAGTTGAACCGTGTAATGAACCCGGTGATGTAAATAACAAAACTGATTTTCCGTTGAAATTGTCCAGGAGTGGTGGTGCTATTAAACCACCCCAGAAATTAAATCTTTAGGAAGGAGGTGTTGTGTAAACCAAGCTGTACTAGTCTATGGCACTTAACTTTACTAAAGTCTATGAATATCCGTACACATCCTGTCATGGGAGTCGTTTATAAGACCTAACCATTAGTAAAGTATAATAAAACAAATTACCTAAAAGTGTATCTTTGAATTATAAATTAGAACAATTTACATTATCAAGTTATACGAACTAAAACTTGTAGTGAAAGAAGACACCACTCTTTATCAAATTTTTCAATTATTAGCAGCGCTTGACTGAGTGAGTAATCATCATTAAAACAAACAATTTCGTCTGAATCAAATCAGTGCATTGTAGTGGCTTACAAAATAAAATAGTAACGAATAAACAACTTTGTGTATATGACGGCAGCCATACTGTATTCAGGCTGCGAGATGGCGCTAGTGGAACGTGCACCGGAAGCACCATTTGAAATATTATTTAGTCGATTTTACATCGATTATTTGGCTAAAAAGACTTGGATTCAAACTGGTAAAATATTGTGACGTTTCCCCTCCCCAAGCGTCCGCCTTTATAACGAGCTGCGCTGTTGAGACAGCACGCATTCCGAACGATTGCGTCCCGGTGCACGGACCACTGTCTCTCGACAGTCAGTACTGCCCGATTACTATCCTTATTGCGATTTAAGATATTTGGATTATTTGATTATAGTAATAAATTTTGTGTATTGCCATACCCGAGTTTTACTTCTGATGTCTGGACCTAATCCGATATCAGAAGTGGGATACGATTGTCCGCCCACCTTTGGCACTTCGTCAGCACAAAATATGCAGGAGAATATTTCGCTACCCTCGCATGGTTTAGAAACGATTCTCTCAAAATTAACTGATGCCCTGCTACCCCGGTCCAATGCACCGTCACACCCTTTCACAGTTTTGGTACCACTTGATCCCGACGACCTAAATTCAGATATAGAGGGCTGGTGCAGATTGACAGACGCCATAATTAAGGGCAAAAATCTTAAAGGTCTGGATCTGAAGGCGCAGCTACATTGCTACCAAAATACCTCCCAGTCAATATCAATGGGAAGATATTCAAGAGACTTTGAAAGCTCAGTTCTCTCGTCCTATGCTTATTCAGGATCACTTTGACAGTATCCTCAAATTTCAAATAACTTCTAATGAAACCCCTGCTCAGTCATGTTTACGTCTTTGGCAACTGATCGAAAATATCCCAGACACGAATTTACCTGAAAAGGTTGTGACGGGCTTTGCCGTTTCCGTTTTATCACAGTGTGATGTTCAAATACGTCGTGAATTAAACTCCACTGTGGTAAATGACAAATCCCAGCTATTTCGAGTACTACGAGGTATCTCCTTAAAAAGAAAATCGGAATTTTCCGAGTCAAACGATTCCGATGTCAAACGCTCTCGTGCTACGATTCCCTTTCGTGGCAATTGCCACGTATGTGACAAGCCTGGGCATCGAGCAGCTGATTGTCGTGAACGAAACAAACCAAATGGATCAATGATTACGGATAAACGCGTCAACCAGAGGCATCAAGTCACATGCTACGTCTGCGGGGAACCGGGCCACGTCGTCTCCACCTGCCCCAAGAGGGTGTAGGAGGTTAAGAACCAAAAACACATTGATACTTCTGAATATTATTTGTTTATTTAATATAAGTCACAAGGAAGGTAAGTGCGTCTTGCCTAGCACATGATCACAGGTCAAGTGAAGTGGGCGAGTGAATGCTGAACGATTATACTATCGGATTGACAACACAACATATCGATTATAACTATTCGATTAATATCTATTTATAATGTATTTATTTTTGCATTATATTTAAATATTCAACACGCCCCCTCAAAAATTAATCTATCGATTCTGTTTACAATTAATTACATAGTTATCTACATTGATCACACATAACTTCCAAGTGATTGGCTGGGAAAAATAATGAATTAATGGTTCAACATTTGTTGCAAAGGATTAGGGAAACCCAGCGAAAACCTAATCAAACCATGTTACATTACAGCCCATTTTGGCTCTATGTGTTTTAAATGCTATTGAAGGTAGCGGTTTTGTGAGCACATCGGCTAACTGTTTACCTGTGGGAATATGATTTAATTTTATAACATTTTTCTCAACCTGTTCTCGGGTAAAATGATATTTTATATCAAAATGCTTCGACCGCTTATGATTAGTTAGCTTATTCACTATACTAATGCAGCCGTTATTATCCTCAAAAATAACTATCGGATCATTTATATTCATGTGAATACTTATAGCTAGAGACTTAAGCCATAATGCTTCTTTAACCGCCTCAAACAAGGCCACATATTCAGCTTCAGTGGAAGAAGCTGCTACTGATGTTTGTCTCTTTGTATTCCATGTAATTGTACAATTTTCAAATAATTTAAATAAATAACCTGTAGTACTCTTTCTATCTGTCATATCATTTCCTCCCCAATCTGAGTCTACATAGCCACTAAGTGTATGATTATAGTTACACTTTTTATATACTAATTTTAGATCAATTGAACCTTTTAAATATCTAAGCACCCTTTTCAGGCATTGCCATTTTTTGTTTATTATTTTTATTAGTATATCGACTCAATATATTAACAGCAGTGCTCAAGTCCGGTCTCGTACATAACATTACATACATTAAACAACCAATGGGATTAAGACATGGTGCATTATAATTATAATCTAAATTTAACGCTTTATAATTCGGTTTGATTTCAATAGGCGTATTTGTAGGATTACAGTCAGACATTTTATATTTATTTAAGATTGTCTTAATATATGCACTTTGGTCTAGTGTTTTTTTATACTTATACCTCGTAATTCTAATACCTAAAAATAATTTAATATCCCCTAAGTCAGTCATAGAAAATTTACTTTTTAAATACTGTTTTATATCTGTCATAATATGGATATCAGCACATGCTATAACTAAATCGTCGACATATAGCACGATATAAATATTTTTACATATACTCCCATTATTTAAAACATATATACATCTATCAACTGATGAATTTTCGAAGCCCTTTTCTTTAAGTGATTGTTCAAATAGTTCGAACCAACATCTAGCTGCCTGTTTCAGGCCATACAATGCTCTATTTAATTTACAAACATAATTATTTTTACTATATACACCCTCGGGAACATTCATATATATCTCTTCTTTTAATAGGCCATTTAAAAACGCAGTTTTGACGTCCATATGATGTACAAGTAAATTATACTGATTAGCAAAACCAATAATGAATCTGAAACTAGATATCCTAGCAACAGGAGCAAAAGTTTCATTATAATCAATAAGATATTTTTGACTGAAACCCCTTGCTACAAGACGGGCTTTGTATTTAAGAGGTTCTCCAAATTCATTATGTTTTATGGAGAAAACCCATTTGCAATCTATAATGTTTTTATTAATAGGCCTAGGGACTAATGTCCACGTATTGTTAATTAAGAGAGAATTAAGTTCATCTTTAATATTATTAAAAGGTAGACGCGATTGTTTCCCATTTATGCATGCCTCACATAACATATCAATTGGAAATATTGTTTCAATTTCATTTATATTATCAATCATGTTGTTACTTTTTAATTCTAAGAATTTATTTTTACTAATATGTCCTAAGCGTTGATGCCATAGCTCATAATTATTACTAGTGCATACTTGGGAAACGAAACCGTCAATAGTCACATACACAAGAAAATCTATAGCAATTAAATTGTTTAAAAACTTACCATTAATTAATGTGTTACCATCCTTGAATATATGAGCTCCATCTTGATCGAAAATAATTGTCAATCCAGCTCTTTGTATCTTGGAAACGGACAGTAAGTTATATGGAACCTCAGGGCAGAATAATACATCCTCCAAAATTCCATCAATACCCATGTCACTGGTAACTTTTATTGTTCCTCTTTTTGTAGCTGTAATCAATTCGCCAACTTTAGCAACTGAAATTTTAATTGGAATTAGTAAGACTGTTTATAATGTGGTCTGATGCTCCAGAGTCCAACAGGAATGTGATTCGGTCATTATGAATACTCTTCTCATTTTTACCGGCCATAAAAGAAAATCTAGGCTGTTCATCAGCAGTAGTTGGTTCGGTCATAACTACCGACTGAACAGTCCTGCTTCTGTCGGAAACTTTACTCTTATTCACTCTCTTGAAATAAAAACAATCATTTTTAACGTGTCCTTTACGTCCACAATGATGGCATTTTAGAAAGTGTATCTTCCTCTTTGCCTTTTGATTACAATTTTTATGCGGGTAGTTATTTGTTATATATGTATTTTCGTTCCTTTTTCTTTTAAATATCTCGTTTTTATTTACAATCTGTAAAACTTTCATACTCGTATCACGACTTTCTGTTTTTAGTTTAACTTCATGATCCAAGAGTCTTGTTTTTACGAATCCCAGTGTTAAATTATCTTCTGACAATGTTTCAATCGCAGTTATGACACCGTCATATGTCGCCGGAAGTGTAAGTAATAAATGAGACACTTTATCAGTTTCTTCTAACTTGGCTCCGGCAGCCAATAATTCCATAATCAAATCTTCAAAAATAGTAAAATGTTTTATTAGTGGTGTATCACCGTGTAATTTCAGAGACAATAACTGTTTTCTCAAAGCCAACTGTGTCGCGAGACTTTTTCGTTCGTAAAGGGCATCTAAATTTTTAAAAATATATTTAGCCGTTATTTCTTCCTTAGCAAAACCAAGATAAGAATCTTCTAAATACTCAACGATAGTACTTTTAGCAATACAATTCTTTGTGGTCCACTCTTGACTCCGCGTTGCGGGTACTTCCTCATCAATTACACTTATAACATCTATTTCGCTCAAAAGCGCGCGTATTCTAAATTTCCAGACACTATACTTCTCGCCATTAAACGGTTTTATATTACGCTTTAGCTTTGAGTTTTCCATTATAAACAATTTCAAAAAAAAAGAATACTTAGCCTTTTTTTCACGATGTGGGTAGAACACCTGACTAGCTTAAATTACGAACACCTTTAATAATTTTTAGCAAAATATACTGGGCCCATAACCTGTAGGAGGTTAAGAACCAAAAACACATTGATACTTCTGAATATTATTTGTTTATTGAATATAAGTCACAAGGAAGGTAAGTGCGTCTTGCCTAGCACATGATCACAGGTCAAGTGAAGTGGGCGAGTGAATGCTGAACGATTATACTATCGGATTGACAACACAACATATCGATTATAACTATTCGATTAATATCTATTTATAATGTATTTATTTTTGCATTATATTTAAATATTCAACAGAGGGTTGACAATACGAAGAAGGAACAAGCCGCTACCGGAAGCAAGGAAGTCAAGGTGTGCTCGAAGATTGTTAGAGGTGCTCTAGATTGTAGTGGTATGACATTTCCTTTTATTTTTGATTCTGGTTCGGAGTGTAGTTTAGTTAGGAAAAATATTTCACCCCTTGTTAATGGACAAAGATCGCGCGACCTTATCAACATGACTGGTATTGGGAACAGTGTCGTTAGTAGCACGGAGCAAATTAATTGTGACATAAAAATCCAAAGTATTGAAATTAGCGTCACGCTTCATGTAGTTCCAGATGATTGTCTGCGCGACGCTATTTTATTAAGTAGAGATATACTTGAGCGCGATATTCTTGTTGAGATTTCGGAGACCGGTTTAACATTCAAGCGGTGTAAGGTATCTAATATGTGTACCAAAACCAAACCTATATTTGACATTGACTCAATTAATGCTGACCTGACAGGAACTGATAGAGTAAAGCTTTTTAACATATTAACTCAATACACGGACAATTTTATTGAACATTTTCCTACAACTATAATTAAAACGGGACAGTTGAAAATCGATTTAATTGATCCTCATAAAATAGTGCATGGGAGACCGTATAGATTATCTCCTCAAGAATCTGACATAGTGGATGAAAAAATTAAGCAACTATAGGGAGTTGAATAGTAATACTCAACCGAATCATTATCCTCTACCTTTGATTGATGAATAAATTGATAAACTTCATGGTGCTCATTATTTTAGCAGTATTGATATGGCTTCTGGGTTTCATCAGTTACCTGTTCATGAAGATTCCACACAAAAAACTGCATTTGTTACCGCAAAAGGACAATTTTGGGTTACCCAATGCCCCTTCTATTTTTCTAAAAGCTATTAATATTTTTTTTTTTTTTTTTTTTTTTTATACAGAGAGTTTCATTTCCTTTCACAAATACTTAAGCCACATATTCTACCCTTAATTTCTAGGCGATTTGCAAAATATGAACAAAATATATCCAGTAGTTTAGCCACAGGACTCATTTTTGTGTTTCGTAAATTGCAACATCATGTGTACATGCAGTCATAATACATTGACCTCAGGCGGCGATCAGCTGTAGGTATAGATCAGCGGCGCGGTAATCACACGTTGCCGCTTTTACTACACCCGAATCGAACGAAATATGTTGATTATTACGTCATCACGATGCAACACGCGTTTTTAATTAGTTCATCCAGTAAGGACAGTCAGTCGGCCCTTGGCCACCGGCGAGCTTATGCTATTCCGTATCCTTGTAGATGCGCTCACGACAAATAACCGTAATAATAATATTGTTGTTGTTTATGAGATACATATTTGTTTAGAGAAGTTTTCTTGTGGTAATAATTGTTTAGTCTTATTGCTTTCGTCATAATACACGGCAATGGTGTGAACAATTAATGTTATCGTGTGCGCAAGACTTCGTAATGTAAGGAGTCCTGCTAATTTTATTTTGAAAAGTCACTATTAGGTTCTGTGTGTAGTGTAGTGTGAAACTGAGTGCATTATCAGTTTTTTAATTTTATTGGGTTATCGATATCAACATCCATAATGCCGTGAGTGACCTTCACAGCCGCGGAATATCCTGCTATGATGTTAATTTATGGAAAACTCTATCACAACGCATCTTTTGCTTTACGGACACGTATGGAGTCAATCGTGTATGTCCTACAGACTGCCGAATTTTTGTAAAGGCGGTACAAAGATTACGAGACAACCAAGGTACCTACTTTTTCAAGGAGTGACGCGTACTGCTGGGTCGGAAGCTAGTCGAGCATTCCCGAAATAAACACGTGAATAAAATCGCATTCTTTATAAATAGATTTTTAAAAGCAAGTGAAGTGATTGGTAGGTAGGTAATAAGAATGTAAAGTTCGCCGGCTCGTCGCGGCGGCGGCGCCGGCGGCGGCGTCGTTTTGATGTCGCCGACATTGCGACGCTGCCGTGTAGGTACAGTTCACCGACTCATGTTATCAATGGTGTTCTAATTCGGAAATTATTTTATTGTATTTAGTTTGTTCTAAATTTGCATTTCTGTATTTTCGTACTAATTTTTTATTTTTTTATTTTAACCGACGTATATTGAACCGTGGTATCTGTTATTTCATTTTTTGTGATATCTATACCGCCACAGTGTATAAAACTGTCAACCTCTTGCATGACAAGAGTCTTTGGTAAGCTCTGTTTCTTATTACGTCTTGTTTTATTCACTGGTTTCTGGTTATTGTTATTTTGCAAATTTTTATAGCGAATTCTAAAAATTGCGGCCTTATGTCCTTTGTCTCCAGTAGATGGTGTGCTTCTTTCTTCTCGATTTTCACTCCAAGGCGTTGCTCAGCTTCGTGTCGTTGAGCCCCGAATACGGGGCAGTCAAAAATAATGTGCAGGACGTCTTCGTCCTGTGCTGGGTCGCAGATACATGACGGGCTCTCCCGACACCTGAAGCGATGCAGGTATTGGGAGAACCCCCCATGTCCCGTTAGTATCTGCGTAGCAACGCCTTGGGGCCGGATCTTCTGCACCAGGCAGTACGCATTTCTCGCGTCTGGGAAGAACACTCTCGTGACGGAGAAGCTATTAATATTGCTCTGAAGCCTATGAACGACGAAAAGATTTTAGTTTTTATGGATGACATACTTTCAATTACAAAAGATATTGATGAGGGGCTTAATCGATTAGACAAATTACTTGAAACACTGGGCAATGCAGGATTCTCGTTCAACTTGAAGAAATGCTCGTTTCTGAAAATCCAAACTGAGTACCTTGGGTATATAGTCTCAGCTGGGGAAATTAGAGCAAATCCAAAAAAAAATACAAGCCTTAGTTGATGTCCCAACTCCAAAAACTGTTACCCAAGTTAGGCAGCTCATAGGGTTAGCTACGTATTTTAGGCAGTTCGTTCCTAACTTTTCCCAAATAATTCGCCCTTTGTATCCCTTAACAAAAGGAAAGGGTAATGTTAGATGGACCCCAGAGCATGACCAAGTACATAAAAGGATAATCCATATCTTAACATCCGAACCAGTTTTAAAAGTTTTTGATCCTACCTTGCCCATTGAACTCCATACCGATGCAAGTAGTGAAGGATATGGTGCAATACTTATCCAAAAACATAATGATGCCCCTCATGTGGTAGCATATTATAGTACGAGTAGAAAGACTATAGATTCAGAGACGCGTTATCACTCTTATGAGTTAGAAACCTTCGCCGTAGTAAAAGCAATCGAACATTTTCGTCTTCGTCTTCCCACTCGAAACGTGACTTGACTCCAAGGGTTCACCGCTGGTGGGCTATATTACAGGCTTACGATTTTGACATTGTGTACAAAGAAGGTCGAAAGATGGCTCATGCAGATTTTTTATCCAAACATATAATTTGTCAAACACCAGCTATTTGGAACCCCGTAAAGTAAATTTTCTTGAGTTAGATATAGGTTGGCTAAAAGTAGAATAGTAGGCCAAACCCTCCTTTCTAAGGAGAGGCTTGTGTCCAGCAGTGGACAATTAAAGGCTGTTGATGATGATGAAAAGTAGAACAACAACGCGATTCAGAACTTTCGGAAATTATATCGAAAATACGTAATAATCAATTACCTGAGGAGATATCACATACGTACGATTTAAGACAGGGTATATTGTATAGAAAGATAGAGCGTAGAGGAGTTTCTAGTTGGTTACCTATTGTGCCCCGTTCTTTGATTTGGTCCCTCATTAGCCATGTTCATAATGAAATAAAACATTTTGACAAAACTTTAGACAAACTTTACGAGTTTTATTGGTTTCCTGATATGGCTTAATTCGTAAAAAAGTTCATTAACTGTTGTGTAGTATGCAAAACTTCTAAAGGTCCTTCAGGTGCCCAGCAAATGCAGTTGCACTCCATTCCTAAAAATCCAGTCCCTTGGCACACAGTTCATTTAGATTTAACAGGAAAACTTTCAGGAAAAAGTGATAGAAAAGAATATTGCTCAGTTTTATTTTTTATTTATTCATTTCTCATCGAGTAACAAAACTCATAGTGTTAGTAACAATTTGACTTATAACTATGTTAGTAAATGAAAAATAAAAACACAACGAAACACAATGACATGAACCGGTACCTAACATGGCACATACATGGGCATTATGCTGCAGGTCCAGCAGAGAGTCTGCAACACCGGTTCACGATCGCGCAATCCATTCGGCTAGCGATCATTTTTAGAATGCTGTTGGTGCTGCCCCGCACCCTGCGTACCAGGGACGCACATCTTTTACGCATTACTGTATAAAAGCAATCAACGCGGGCTTCTGCAAACATCCCTGAAGCACTACAGAAACGTGGCAACCCCACCAGCACCCTAAACGCGTTGTTATATTGAACTCGAAGGGCGCTGTATGCTTTTAGTGTAAAACGATCCCACAGGCTACACGCGTAGAATGAGGTACAAAATGCACGGAGTGAGCCACCATAAAAAAAAAAAAAAAAAGGCTCTGTTTTAGGCCCTTTGTTGTGGAACCCAGCTTACGATGTGGTCCTTCGCACCAGTCTGCCCTCTGGCCTTAGTGTTGTCTGCTATGCAGATGACACTTTAATACTGGCTAGAGGGTCACACTTCGACGAGGTGCTT